CTCCCTTGCAGCCTCCAAGGCAGCTCTTGGTCATGACTCCCCATGGCTGCTCTGTGCCAGGGTCTGTCCTGGCAGCCAGCTGCAATTAAGGTGCTATTAAGTATTCAAATGAACAGATTCTCTTTGCTCTCACTGTTTTGAAGTGCATTGCCAAAACCTCAAGTATCTTCGCTGAAGGCTCAGACATTCCTGTAATTTCTGCTGTTTGGTACAACCTTCATTCCTAAACAGATGCTTTACAGTGGCAATGCCCAGAATAAAGCCCCTCAACCCTCAAAGCTGGTAAATTCAAAGTGAACAAACAAACCCTCTCCAATTGTCCCAATCTCCAGGTAACCTCACTGTCTCCATGCCTACGTGTGTCCTTGCTTGCTAAGTCTAGACACTCATTTCGCACATTATGTCTCTTCCAGGTACCTTCTCAATCCTGATACTCATTTTAGAGACGACCTGCATGCAGCGCAAGCGTGGTGGCTGGAGAGTCAGCCTCCAGCATACCCATGCTTCCCAAGCCTCATGCCATGGTGAGCTGCACCTCACCACTGCACCAAGGTGCTCATGGCAGCAGCAGCATCATGCATGTTGGGTTCTAGAGGCAGCACTTCGTCCCTGCCCAAAGGACAGGGTGACCAGCACTGGATGGGACATCCAGGCATCAGAGCATTCATGCTGGGGAGTGCCCAATGGAGCTGTGAGATGAGAGCATCCAGTGTTAACCCCATCCCAAGCCCCACGGGAGCTTCTTTGGGGTCCCCGCAGTGGCATTGCTGCTGCACCAACCTCCCGCTGGTGTGAGGGGTGCATGGCGAGCTGTGCTGCAGTGGTGGCTACTGCTCCGTTGCTGTGGTGGGTCAGGGCTGTGGGGCTTTGGGGGTTTGCTTTGGAGGGATCCTTGCATGGTCAGGCTGGGCCATGGGCCGCTGTGGGACCGGCAGCGCTGGCCTGTCACCTCCGCCTGTCCCACTGTATGGAGACATTCCCGCTGGATGGAAATATGCCCGAAATAGCCCCTCTGCAGATTGTCTTTATCTAATCAGCTGCCTTTGCACCCCGCTGCATTTCAGGGAGCTGATAGCAGTGATATGTGAAGTGTGGAAACCTCCAGCAAACTGCTCGACACGGAGAGTAATTCTCCTTCCTGCACTTATCAGAGCCTGCTAATGGGAAACATTCCTCCTGGGGGTCAGGGAGCAGGCAGGGGATCTCACTGGAGAGGATGGCTGAGCCCCTGGCACCCTTCTGCCTCTCCAGGGATGGGTTGGAGCTGATCTGACCACCAGATGCTCACTGAAGGAGCAGCTCTGCAGTCCCATGGCGAGGGGCTTGTCCAGCCCTTGGGGACACATCTGAGGAGCCCCATCCTCTTCCATATACCCCATCCTCATGTCCTCTGTATCATGGAACACCAACGTCAAGTACAGAGCTATGGGGGGAAGAACGGGGGTGCCTCAGTGGTCAGGGCAGATGCTCCCACTGTTGAGGATGGTTGTGTAGGGCTGGTGGGACATTGGGGCAGACATTGGCTTTGGGCAATAGCCACCTGAAGCAAACTCCTGTTGGGCTCCTTGTTGTGCCCATGGGGTTGTGTGGGAGGTCCATAGGAGCCCTGAGGATGCTGTGGGCATGTGAGCAGGGTGCAGCTCAGGCCTTGCCAGCAATTTGAGGATGAGCTTCCTACCACCCTGAAAACCACATCACAAGCACCAGTGCCAAAGGCGCCCAAACCCAGCGGAACTGCGCTTCAGCAGCTGCTGGAGCAACCGTTCCACATTTTCCCTTTACAGAGCTGCTCGGCCTTTGATGGACCCTGCTGGAACCTCTTCAAAGAGGGTCAGAAACCAGGGTGAGCAGAAGGAACTGCCGAAGGAATCTCCGAAAATAAAACCTCTTTAAAGACAAGGCTGGGAGGGGGTGAGCAGAGCCCTGGGAAGAATGTGCGGGGCTGGGCCAGCTGGTGGGGCTGGGCTCATCCCACTGCTGGGCACTGGGGGCAAAGGTGCTTGGCACCGGACCCACCGGAGCCTTGGGTCCCTCCAGGCTGTGGGTGGAAATCTGACGCGGAGCCCAGGGCAGAGGCAGGAGACCACCGGGGTAACCTCAAGGGACCTCTGGTCCTCCGGCACCCCTGGCTCTTCAGGACACTGACGCTGCCACCTCGGCCACGTTGGGCACCTCTGTCATGAGTTCTCAAAGGGGATCTCAGCTCTGGTGTCCCCCGAATGGTGTCTCCAGGGTGGTTGCAGTGTCCTCATCACGGAGTCCAATCCTGATGAGGAGCTTAGCCTCTGAGCTGAGCCTGGTGAGAAAGTGCCCACATGGGACATGGAGATGAGGGGCTGCTGATGTGCTCAGAGCCACTTTGTCCAGGCTACAGGCTCTCCTCCATGGGAGCATTTGAATTCATGGGAACGCTGGCACCATGCGATGCCCTTACATTGCACAGCGCAGCCAATGAAGGCAACATCCACCCATCCCTGAGCCCAGCCATCCTCTCTGCAGGGCTCAGGAGGACGGGTCTGCAGTCCTCCATCCCATGAATGTCCCAGGCTTCACTCCACAGCAGGGTGGGAGGGCAGAAGACCTGCCTGTCGGTGGAGGGGATGGCACTGGGAGCCCAGACCGGGGCGTAGCAGCAAACCTTGCCTGTGCATTGGATGGAAGCCTGGCCACTGCTGGGCTTCAGCAGAACCCTCCTGCAGTGCCTGGCTCAGGGTCAGGGCAGGTTCTGGGGCTGCAGAAATCTCTGTGCACCCTGGGCTGTGTGCCCAGCGTGAAGCCACATGCTCTAAGCAGCTCCTAATGTTGCTATTCTGGCCATGGCAGAGGCCACCGCACATACAGGCTGGGCACAGCGCTGTGCAGCTAATCCTTCATCACCCCCTGCCTCGGTTTCCCCTAATTTACAACCCCTTTGGGTGTGAGGGGTGCTGAAAGGGGAACAGCAAATCCCTGCAGCCATGGGCCCTGGTTTTCCAGTATCACCCCGGTGGGGTTATTTCTATGTCCCCAGGACATGACCACACGAGTGAAGAGCCAAGAGGTGGTTTGGCACCGAAGCCCTTTGCCCTGGAGAAGGTGTGTGCTGGTCTTGTCTTTGACAGCAGCACCTCCTGGGCTGATGCTGGCAGGAGGGAGATGGGTGCAATAAAGCACCAAAGCAAAGGCAAAGAGGAGCAGAGCTCTTGCTGGGCAGGCAGGGGTGTCCTTCAGCAATAAGGGTGGAAACCTCACCACGCTTTGATGCCAGCAAATAAAATGGCTTTCCTTGAGCCTGTGGCATAACCATGGGTCTGCCTGGCCTTGCTGGGTCCTGTTCTCATCTTGGGCAGCCCATGGTGGTGCCACTGGATGATGATGTGTGTCACAGCTCCAAGCTTGTACACAGTGTCTTTGGGTGCTGCCCGGGTGGAGAAACCAGCTGAGAGGTTCTGAATCTGGCCTAGCCATGAACCAAGCTCATGGGAGCAGGACCTGGGGGTTACTGTTGGGGAGAGCTTGTCAAAGCAGA